TTTTTTAGCTAAGAAATTAGATAATAAGGTGTTGTAATCATATCGCATTCCTGGGTTGTACAACAGACGGAAATTTCACAATGGTAAGTACCTTATTTTTGCTCGAAATCGACTTTTTACATGAATAAAATGTTTAAAACACAGGTAAGTCTCTGCAGTTGCAATATGTTAATGAGGCAAAATTTTGATCCACTATGATCTAAGTGACCACCTCCCGTAAGCGACCAACTAGTCTTGACATTTTTGGTGGTCGCTTACGGGAGGTTCGACTGTCGTTGATTGCCAGAAGTAGAACGAGTCATAGACCGCCTGTTATTGGATCAAATTTAGCTTCCTGCTTGATGTATAGATACTTTTCTACCTTTATGTACTTACTTTCAAGCCAGTAAAGTGCATCAGGTGCGAAAAGCGAACTGATTTGGTCGAACAAGGTGATCTATGACTTGCCCTGTAAAGCGAAGCGTAGGGAACAACGGGTAATTATAGATTGGCCAGAAGATTCAGACTCGTACCCAGTCGCTATTTACGTGTTTTTGGGAAAGAGAAGATTGGATACTAGAGCGAATTAACGCGCGCAAGGTGTCATGGGAATAGCTATTTTTCTCCCGCCTCTTCCCATAACTCCCCGCGCGCTCCACTCGATCCAGACCGCTTTTTCTTTGAAACCGTCCCAGATGACCCGTAAATAGCGACTGTGTACGAGTCTGCAGAAGATTTCAAATTTCCCAGTACTTATTTCAAAAGCTTTCCTTAGCCAGCGCTCGGCCCCGGGCCTGTCTAGTGTAATGAAACGATGAAAAGTCAAAGACTACTGCAAGGCTGACACAACGTAGTATATTTAAAATTAAATTACAATATTATATAATGGTAGATGTCGTAACACTTATTTCGAAGCTAAAAAGAGTGGCGGAAATGGCGAAAAAAACAAACTAAATGAAGCAAGGATAGAACGGGTCTACATAGGTTACAAGTTTTACGAGTCATCACGTCTGTTCATACCGTGGGGTTCCAATGTCCTCGCTAAATCTATTAAAAAGAACTCTCTGGCTTTTCAGATTGAATCACGTGAGGAGTGGATAAGTTCAAGTGGAATTAAAGTAGTTGCATGTCAGTGTAGCAGTGATTAGGATGAGAAAGAAAATGTTCGGCAACAGTGGTGGATTTGGATTTAATGTTAGTCACGGATTTGTCGACAGGGTGTCTACGTTCGTTGAATCTGTCTTCGTTGAATCTATGTTCGTTGAATCATCCAAAATATTGTTTTAAATTTACCACGTTGTGTTAGCCTTGCAGTAGTCTTTGACTTCTCATCGTTTAACTTTTCAAGTTTGGCTGATTAGATCTCCTGTGAGATCCAACGTTCAATCAAGCAGGATCTTTGTTCACGGTTTTGCAGTTTATTCAGTTTGCTAAATAAATCGAAAAACATCACGCAAAACACTTAAAATAAGAACTAAGTGCAGGACGTTTTCTTCTTTCTATTTTTTCAGGGTTCGTAGACCTTCCCCGTGGAAGCGAGGTGGCCGTTAAACATGCCCTTGCCACGGTTGGCCCAATCTCCGTCGCCGTTAGGGCTTTAGGATATAAAAGCAAATAATTACAATAACAATAAACGTATCACGAACAATGTAGTTACCCCGACGCCGTTTTTAGTCTGTGTCTTTTCAGTGAGCGTCACGAAACTGCTTCACTTTAACCTGGGTACCTGTGCGAATCCCCCAAGGGAGGGGGGAATCCCGTATAGTCAATATAAAATTCGGACGGAGGAGTTCGTCGTACCTTTTAGGGGTTAAAAAGCGGTTTTAGTACCTCGTAGGGTTTTCGGCTTCCAAAGGTCCACAGAAAAAGCTTTTGCGGTACCTCTTAGGGTATTGAACTGAAACAAATATGACAGGAGATAATGTGTTGTTTTAGAATTGGTTCCTCTTTGGGGAGAAAAAAATTTCAAGCCACTCCCACAAACCAGGATCTTGGTACCTCTTAGGGGTTCTTTTCAAATTTCCGACGAGCACCCTTCAAAACTTACGTTTAGGGAAACTGTACCAGCCGCAACGGTCATAAATAGGGTATCGAGTTTTTGGCCTGGTCATAAATAGGGTAACAAAAATCGCAGATTTGGTCACAAATAGGATAAGGGTTTTGGGAAGTGGGCCGCACATCCCCACCCAAATTTTCTGGGAGTACTCCCCCGGACCTCCACAAAAGAACGGGAGATGTAATTTCTGTTCGCTTTTGATGTCGCTGTGAGCTACGAATGCGCGGTTTACCCTATTTCCTGGTCACACAGCTTGCATCCCTCTCCTCAGGGCTCTTTCTCCAAACCTTAAAAGTATACAGTTACTGAAATGTCATTTCTCTTCCGAATTCTTCCGTTTGAATTTTATCTTTCTTTTATTTTTCACTGTTGAGCAGAACAGATTTAAAACTGAATCAGATTAGGGATCAAACCAGCTTTTCTCTGCGTGATAATAAGCGTAAGAGGACTAGATGCTGTCCCAATTGGAAATAATTGGATGAAAAAGTTCCGCGTTCTTCAAAATTTGAGCAGCGCGCAGGCCTCAAGACAGAACTAATTTGGCGGGAAAAAATGTTTGAATTCGGTTGCAGTGGCTCGACCCTACCTTACGGTCACCTCATTATTACGACCACTTATTTTTGTCCCGGCGAAAGGCCCATACACATTTTCTTTTAGAAAACCCCGTTAATGCAGCCACCGCCACGTTCTGAAATTCCACGTTGTATAAGCTGTATAATTTAACCCCGTTTATTCAGCCACTCGAACCAGTTGTATGTTCATTTTCCATTATCAAGATTTCATACATTGATTCAAGTTTCAATTTTTTTTTAATTTTATCTAATTCCGGATGCTTATTAAGGAACAGTTGTTTAAAGAGCAGTTGTGATTTATCTGTTAAGATGGGTCACTCAGTTTAGACCAGTCATGAGGTTTGACCCTAGTCCGTTAATACCGCCAAATTTTCACGGCCGTTGGTGACGAGTTTCCATGATACTTCCAAATTTGACGGAACTGCTATGCCTGTGTTTACAGCCGCCTATCGTTGTTCCCAGACAAAAGACAGCCCGGCTAAGCTCAGTGTGTGCATCAGAAATTCTCGCAGAGAACGTAACTCGTGACAAGCCACATTGAATTTCTCTTTGGAAAAGGGGGCTTTATCCACCAGCTTAGCGAGGGCAACTACACTATTGCTCAGCAATTATTGACACTGAGCTGAAGCGGAACTCAGCTCAGTGTGTGACGTCAGCAGTTCTCACAAAGAACTCGTGACGGGCCACACTTTTTCTGGGGGGGGGGGNACTATTGCTCAGCATTTATTGACAACTGAGCTCATCTCGCGAAGATCTCGTGACGGACCACATGACATAAAGTGACATCTTCCATGATGTAGTCCAGGATTTTTTTTCTATTTTTTCTCAAAAGAAAAGTAAATTGGTCCTATATCACACATTATCTTCAGAGTGAAAAATTCCGAACAGCTTGATGTTTTTTTAGCAACTCAAAATGCTTTTAGACCGGGCTTTCAGTCACCAATAGTGCATCGTGCTTTCACCACTTAGCTTGTGTCGCAATCTATTTAAAACCTGCTTTCCTCGTGATGTATCAACGTCATAAAGACGTCTTGTGACCTTTTGTCAGCCACACTATAAAGAGCTTTCCACGCTGCTATTAAAGCTGATTCCTTTACTGCGCATCGGAGAAGAACATCAGTTAATCCAAGTCTCCTACAAATTTCTTGACCCCGAAGCAGCAAAATGAAGGGATTTGTCGCTTTCTTGTTGTGCTTGACTGTAGCAAGTGGCTTTGTCCTCAAGGTAGAAGAAGATGAATTGCAGTGGAAAGCGTGGAAGAGTTTTCATGGTAAAAGCTACCTCACCAAGAGCGAGGAAACAATGAGGAAAGCTATTTGGAGAGACAACCTTAAGGTGAGATACGGAAAAATGAAAACTTGTATTAAAAGTGAAGCAATTTCGTGAGAACTACCTGGGAAGACCTGATAAACATGACACCTTTGGTGATAAACTTTGTACAGTACATGATTTGTGATTTGAAGCCATTTAAAACTACTTGCAGATTTGATGGGATTAATTAAAGGAGTGGATAACATAGGGAAAGTTGTTTTCAAGGTTCCTTGCTTCAGAGATCTAATCCTAAAAAGACGGAAATGACTGCCGGAAGTTTTGCTTGGCGGGTTGATGGCCGCAGTTACACATACGCCTGCGGGAAGATTGCCCCTGGGTTAAATTATATAACAGTAGTACAAAAGGAATCTTTTGTCACATAGTAGCGTCCTTGTTATTTTTGTCAAAAAGGTGTTTTGGTGTTTTTTTAATTGCCATATTCATAACTTGTAAAGAAGTGGAATCAATTGTTTTCGCCGCCGAGAGATTTTATTGGTGTTCATTCCAGTGATTTTTGCTTGTGTCCAGTACGGCCGGACAGTATAAACCTCTTATTAGCAACTTAGATTTATTTCCTATTATCTTCATACCAGAAAATCGCCGAGCACAACTCTCAAGGTCACTCACACATGCTGGCCATGAACTACTTTGGAGATCTCACGCAAGATGAATACAGCTTCTTCTACCTCGGAATGCGAAGCCACTTTTCCAACGAGACTGAGAGAACCGGCTCGACCTACCTGGAACCTAGTCACGTGAGTTTGCCAACTGAAGTGGACTGGAGAAACGAGGGCTATGTCACGGGAGTCAAAAATCAAGGTATGACGATACTCCAGGATGAGACTCCATTCTAGCAAGAGACCATGATCCACCTCATTTTCTCTTGATTCTAGCTCTTCTTTATTTTTCCGGTCGTAATCAGATCTTTGGGATTTTCGCTAGTTAATTTTGTAGTCATTACTGCAGTTTCTTGGATTAGCCTCTGACACGGACCTGCTTTTCAGCTCGTAACGCAATCTTTTTTAGAAACCCCGTGACGAAACCAAATGAAAGAGCGTTGCGTATGAGGTTGCGGTAATAGTGATTTCGCAAACCAAGTTTAGTAATATGATATTCCTAGGCCAGAAAACCAGACATAAGGCAAGTGTTCTTTTTCGAAATGAGAGTATGGTTGTTTTAATTCCAGAAACTGACTTTAAACAAGGTCCATTTTTCACAATTTCCTATTTTGCCATATAGGCCAGTGCGGTTCTTGCTGGGCTTTCAGCGCAACTGGATCACTGGAAGGACAACACTTTAAGAAAACAGGACAACTCGTCTCCCTCAGCGAACAGAATCTGGTCGACTGCTCCACAAGTTATGGCAATCATGGCTGCCAGGGTGGACTTATGGATAATGCCTTCAGGTACATCAAAGCTAATGGCGGAATCGACACGGAGGCCAGTTACCCGTATGAGGCGAGAAACGACAACTGCCGATATAATCCAAACAACGTTGGAGCTACAGACACGGGTAAGACAAGTGAAAAGCTTTAGGATTTCATGTTCAGGGTTAAACTCTTGCTCATGCCAAGGCCTCCCCGGCTAAGAGGGACAAGCTGCTTTGAGGACGAGAACAGTATAGAATGAGAGTGGCGTTGCGAAACGCTTGTGAACTACGCCCACTTTTCCCCTGGTATTTTTCTCTTGGGAACTTTCAATTCTAAGGATGTTTTGCTAAATTGTCCATTTAGTCCTTACAGTATCACTACAAAATAATCCAGCTGGTCGTAACAATACACTGATGGCCGTATAATATTCTCCATACTGATACTATGAGAAACCTGTTGATGAGAAAGGAGATTCCGCATTTAATCATCCCCTCTCCTTTGTTTCCAGGGTACGTCGACGTCCCTCAAGGAAGCGAAGAAGCCCTTCAGTCCGCCACCGCTACAGTAGGCCCAATCTCTGTCGCCATTGACGCCAGCCATATGTCGTTCCAGTTCTATCACAGTGGAGTCTACAACGAGCAGTAAGTACAGTGTTTGTCGCGTTAGCCCTCTTCCCTTTCAGTTTGCCTTTTAGTTTCCTTGGATTACGGAAACTGAGAACTCTTATCAGTAAGCCTGGGATCCACTGTAATTGGCTACGCTGTAGGGGTCTTCCTGCTTAATGAATTTTTAATGTATTTTAGTTTTGCGAAGTTAAATACATAAAATATGGTTTCTTTTCTGAAAACCTTGGGTTTTCAAGATCATTGACATTTTTCAAAAGGCGTAATTGTGGGGAAAAGTCCAGAATACGGTTTCTCATGCTATTCTTAGGCTACACAAAGCGTTGCGTTACCATCCATATAGACCCCCCACATATACAATGTAATGCAATTAGTCTTCAATAGCGTGACGGAAATATAGGCATTTACTAAAACCAACCTTTTACATCACGATTTCCAAAAGAGTTCAACAGCATTTGTTTTTGTTTTTTGTTTTTTTTTTGACAGATCTTGCAGCAGCACAAGACTTGATCATGGCGTTTTGGTCGTCGGCTATGGAACCTATCAAGACCAGGACTACTGGCTAGTGAAGAACTCCTGGGGGACTGGCTGGGGAATGCAAGGTTATATCATGATGTCAAGAAACAGGAACAACCAGTGTGGGATCGCCACCAGCGCCAGCTACCCGCTTGTCTGATCTGAACTGAATCAAATAATTGTACTCTTTTGATCGGAAGAATAATCGTACCTCTATTTAAGAGGATTAACATTTATTGTTTAAGACGGCCTTTGAAAGTTTTCTTGAAAAAAAAAATGTTTTTCTGCTATGTTGATATGTAGTATACTGAGCATTTTTGAATGCTCAGTATACTAAAAGATGGAAAACTTTGTAACGCGAAATAAACTGTTTGTAAAGCATTTGCTACAAAATATGTGTGGTGATCAATGTCTGTAGTCCAGACGAAGGGGGACACTGGTGTACAAAACGTGACGGGGTGGAGTGAAGCATTTCTGGCAATTTCAGTGATGTCATGATTTTTTGGGGGCATTTTTGGGGGGAGGAGCAAGTCTCGCGAAATCACGTCAGCTACGTGTACTAGTTTTAAATCCAAAAAGCTTAGACTCGGTTTCAGGATTACGTGGTTAGATTAATACCTTATGTTTCGTCATCAATTAGTTATGTAATACGCCCCTGCAAAACTTTAATTCCATATCTTTTCTCTCAAATGTCATGGTGACATTTGAGAGTGAGTGCGAATGCCTAAAATCCATACCGTCTCTTGACTCGATTTCTGCCACTCCAATCAAGCCAATATTGCCTTTATGACTAACTAGCGGGTCCTTTTGGATTGCATTGCCCACCTCGTCCCCCAAAAGTCCCCCACTCCTCTCCTATATCCTCACAGAGTCCACATAACCCGAGGTTACGTCTCGGAAGTTCTCACAGTTAACCACTTTTAACTGAAATCAAAAAATAATTAAATAATCAATGACTACGGTCGAACCTTCACTAACTGCCACCCCTCTGCAAGAGCAACTGTTTTTTTGCCCCGGCGGACAGTCCATACATTCACGCAAGTTATTTGAACTACTCTTCAACGGTCACCTCTCCACAACGGCAACGGTCACTAAAACACGACCAGTAAATCAATGACTGACAAACGGTTTATACAAAACCCCATATTTTATTTTGTTTTATTGATAAAAGTCACCAAATTTAATCCCTATCGCGCGTTGCGTATTTAAACGCTAAAATAGGCATTTTATAAACTGAAAAATGTCGCACCCCGGAAAAAACGGATGTCATATTACACGCCTAGATTCAGAACCATAATGCCACTGCCCGCTTACTGTAATAAAGGGTGTCTACTTTTAAGCGTGTTAAAATACAGGTATGACTGCTTTTAAAGGTCTTGGAAGCCACCTATGCTTTTCTTGTGATCACACACTCGATCACGATTCTTAATCGTGTTGACAACTTCAGAACTTGTGACAATAGACGCATTATTACTTTTGTTTTAACTTTATTCCTAACACATGATACGACTATAAGATAACAGATAAGGGCGCCTTGTTATTACACTACAGCCGAATTTTATTGGAACAAATACCTCTCTGACTGAAGTTATTTGGTGTAGCGTTCAGACATAACGTCGAATCATTCGTAGACAACTTACTACAAAGTGCATTTGGTAGCGTCAGTCGTGAGCAGAATTTTCCCCAAAAAACACAGTCGTAGTCGCAAGCCATTCTTAGAAGAAAGACTGGAAGAGAATATAGTCATCAGAGTTGAGCCACATTTTATATGTTGCGCCTTTTATCTTTCGCGGAGAAAAGAACAAAGACTTGTAAGTTTGCAGTGATAGACAACATAGTCAACATAATGCTCTTAAAATGTTCCGAAGAGTTCCCACGGGTATATGAAGTATGTTCCCAGTTTCGCCACCGTAATAATTTAGTAATTATATAAAAATATATAGAAATATTGACGATCCGATACCAGGATTTATTATAAAAGAGGTAAAAAACGTTCTCTGGTAAAATTTGTTTAAAGTTGTGAGCTTTCAACAGCCAGT